TAAGCCACCGGGTCCGGGACACGAACCACGGTCGACTACGTGGGAGTCCAGCGACATAGCCATTACGCTAACTGCTGGTTCCCCCCAGCTTGCTTTTTAAGCTGCTGAGGCTAGGATTCAAACTCAATTGGCCATGTGGGATCTAGCTCCCTATGCATAAGGCTCAACTGCTGCACTAAGAGGCTGGCCCATTTTATCTTCAAATATACTAAAAATTGGGCCAGCCTGTAGCCTATTGGTTAGGAGAGTAGGATCCCAAATAGCTGACTAGTTTGAATAATGGTTCCAGCAGCACTTGAAAGCAGACACATGGTGTACATGTCCCAAATCCCAATAAAATGGAGAAATGGAGAAGGGAGTGTGACATGACCACACTCCACTGAGGGGTACTTTCTCCCTGTCCCTCTCTTTCTGGTGAGCATAACACCTTCAGACAATAAAAACCAACAACAGGGACCAGCAGTTGGCATAATGGCTACGTTGCTGGACTCGCAAATAGTCGACTGTGGTTCAAGTCCCGGACCCTGTGGCTTAAACTCACGCTGGGTGCATGCGCATGCATGCCCAAGATCCAGAGAGAAATGGAGGAGAAGGGATTGCGGCGTGACCATCCCCTCTGGGGGGTGATTTCTTGCTTTCTGTCTCTCTGTCTCTCTCTGTCTTTAAAAAAAAAAAAAAAACAAAAAAAACCCAACAACCAAAAACCAAACATACGGCTGGCAGGGCTATGGTGGTTAAGGCAACTTGACTCCCACATGGCTTATTGTGGTTCAAATCCTGAACTTGCCAGCTTGCTTTCTCACTTTCCTTCTCTCTCTCTCTCTCTGGTTGACCTAAAAAAAAATTAAATTAATTCATGACAATGAATAAAATGAAATAATTCTTATTAAAAAGCAAACATATATTAAGAGCTGCTATTTTATACTTTCTTGACAATTTGAATATATGAAGTATATGAAGAGTTTGTAGTTGTTGTCTTTGAATATATGGTTTGTATTTGTTGTCTTATTTTTAAATGTTTTTCATTTTTTTAGTTTTTGCTATAGGGCACCTGTGCTCATCAGAGAGCAGAGAGAAAGCATCCCTTGAGGGGATGGTCACACCAATCACTTCTCTATTCTCCTTTTGGGATTTTAGATACACACACACACAAGTGCCTGGTGTGTTTTTCATACTTCTGGGTCCAGGACTCCTAACTGCATAGTCAACCATGTGGGATTCAGCCTCCTTAACCACCGCATCACTAGCTGGCTCTCTGCATGTTCTTTTTCACGTTTCTTTGTATAACTGGTTATCTTTGAGAGTATGCTGTAAGTTTCCTTAGGGGGAAAAAAAAGGGCCAGCTAGTGGTACAGCAGTAATGCAACACTTGGTGATGTTGAACTCATATGGGAAGGCCTAGGGTTTGAGACTCAAGCCTCCCTGTGCACATACCCCTGAGCATGGCTGACTGAGCTGGCAAGGTAAGGAGGAGGGATGGTGTGCCTGTCTCTCTATCTCAAGGAAGAATAACCTTTTTTCAAAAGGAATACTGAGGGACCAGAAGTTAGCATAATGGCTATGTCGCAGAACTCCCATGTAGTCGACCGCGGTTCACATCTCGGACCCGATGGCTTAAAACTCACGTGGGGCGCGTGTGCATGCGTGCCCAAGATCCTGAGAGAACGGAGGAGAAGGGATTGCGGTGTGGCCATCCCCTCTGGGGGGTGATTTCTTGCTTTCTGTCTGTCTCTCTCTGTCTGGCGAGCGGACACACCCTATGGCAAAAACCTCTCAAAAAAAAAAAAAAAAGATTTGACAGTGTGGTGAGTTGAAAAGGCCTTGTAATGGTGACACCACACAGGTTAGAAAGGTTTGATATCTGATAGTACTTTTCTCTAAGGATCATTTTAATTTGCTTTTACTATGCATCTGTGCACACCACTAATTTGGTCAAAGCTGAGGTTCTCTACACTTTCAAGGTGACTTCAATTTGGGAGACATGTCTATGTTGGGGCTTGTTTTTTACAGTTCAACAATTTCTGAGGGAGTCTTCTCTAGAGTTCTAGTTCAAATATGTGGTGATTATTCAGACTTCTGGCTTTCAGCACTTTTACACTTGTACCCCTTACATGGTAAGTCTACCATCACAAGTCTTTCATCAGCAAAATACCTTAAGGCAAAAGCAGCTTTGAGTGCTAGGGTGATTAATCCAGTCTCTTGCTTCTCCTTGGGTTTGATCCCTAATTCTTCATTCTCATCAGTTCTTAAATGCTTTTAAAATTTTTCTTTTACAATAATCATTTCTTTAATTTTATTTTTAAATTTGCTATAGGGCACATGCGGGGGTGGGAAAACAAGCCACCAGGTCTGGGACTCCAAACACAGTTGGCCATACAGGAGTACAACACTTAACTACCACACTACCTGTTGGCCCCTTAAGGATTTTTTTGGTCAACATTTCACTCATCTTGGTCTCCGTGGGAAATTGAGTCCTAATTACCTACACCACCATTACCGGGAGTGTAACCCCTCACTCAAAGCTCCATCATGCTCTCTCCTGCCTGTCTGCACAGGACGCTGCAGGTCTGGGGAGAAGGGAGACAGGAAGAGGTGGTGCTTCTGCTTCAGAGCCCTATGTCAGGGAAGAAAAAAACTCAGTCTTCCTCAGGAAAAGCCACACTTTCTCAGACAAAGGAGACAGTGACCTGGGGTTCCCCCGCTTACCCACACAATTTCATATGGTTCAACTTATTCACATTTGGTCCAGCAGGTCACGTGGTATGAGACGGCAGTGTCCGGCCACTGGGCAAAACGCAGGACAAGGGGTTAGAGGCCTGGCCCACAGTGTCCAGCCGTGGACCATGAGTGGATGGTGGCGGGCCCTGGAGGAGGACCTAGCTCGGACAGAAGAGAACGGAGCAAAGGTCTTGCAGCCAACTCTGTGCCCGCCCCGAGGCGCTCAGGGTGGAGCTAACACTCAGAGGCAAACACACCGCCTCGTCAGACCAGAAACGAGCGCGAAAAGAACGCGTCACACTCAGAAGCGGAAGTGTGCCGCCGCCGAGGCTTTCGGGAAATGTAGTCTCTCGGCCTGCCGCGTGTCCAGGCGCTCGGGAGGCGGTTCTCTTCTGGCGCATCTGGAACGCGCTTGGTTGTGCTGCACGTCCTGTCCACCGTGGATAAATTGTTGGGGGCGCGCCAGAGGCTTTCCTTTGGACGTTTCTTTAAGGGCACGCCCAGATCTTCCTATTATTAATTGTAAATTGGTGATACAAACCTTTCTAACCTGTGTGGTGTCACCATTACAAGGCCTTTTCAACTCACCACACTGTCAAATCCCGTTAGGATTTCTCAAACAGAGCAAAAGTAATATTGTGCGTACTTTGTTGTTAAAACCTAGCCCAGACATTTTTTTTTTTTTCCAAATTAGTTTTTGCTTTAGGGTGTGTGCACTCACCAAAGAGAGAAAGACTGAGAGTGAGAAAGTGAGAAATCACCAGTCCCGGAGGATGGCTGTGCCACAATCCCTTCTCCTTCATTCTCTTCTCGGGATCTTGAGCACCCATGCACACATGTCCACGTGATTTTCAAGCTACCAGATCCAGGACTTGAACAGCAGTCAGACATGTGGTACTCTAGCAACACAACCACTACCCCATCTGCTCGAGTGTCCAGCCATTTTAAAACACCAAATTCCCCTGGATCCCTGCATGCTAGCCTGTGCCTCCCCCACTCTACCCCTCCCCCTCCCCCCAACACACATTCCCTACCAATTAGGCTTGGACTGTGGTGTTGGTGATAATGTTAGTGTGGAGATGAGGACCTTGGTTTTTGTCTTCCTGAAAGAAAGAATTCAGTCGGGAACCAGCAGTTAGTGTAATGGCTATGTCGCTGGACTCCCCATGTAGTCGACCGCGGTTCGTGTCCCGGATCTGGTGGCTTAAAACTCACGCCGGGCGCGTGTGCGTGCGTGCCCAAGATCCCGAGAGGAGAATGGAGGAGAAGGGATTGCGGCGTGACCATCCCCCCTGGGGAGTGATTTCTCGCTTTCTGTCTCTCTGTCTCTGTCTGTCTGGCGAGCGCACGCTCCCTATAGCAAAAACCTGTCCAAAAAAAAAAAAAAGAAAGAAAGAAACAATTCAGTCAATAGGCAGAAGTATAGTGAAACAACAAAGCTTTATAACAGGGTAAAACCAAAATGAAAGTACACTTCTTGAAGGTAGGAGTAGGCTGGCCTGAAGGAACATACCAGCACTGATGGTTTTTACATTGGGGGCTTTTATTGGGTTTCTGTGGGGGCATCACCCCTTCTACCTAGTTTTGATTGGTTCTTTTCCCTTTTTCCTCCTTGTGAGTCTTGCACATGCTCTGTTGGGTCTTGTTATCTAGTAATTTCCCTTGAGTACATTAGTGGAAAGCGAGGGGCGGGGGAACCAAAATTCACAATGCAAGTAAGATATCAATGAGCAAAGGGGTTACCTGGGGACAACCAGGTCACCACTGCACATGCTCCAAGTTATGTAAGGTCCCTTGTGCTGCTCCTTAAGTAGCAGGATGTTCCTACCACAAAACCACTAAAAAAGCAGTTCTCCTCCCTGCTCAGGTCTGACTACCTTTCTATCCTAACGGTAAGACAGGGTAGAGCGCACTGGTTCTTTGTCTGGTTATGTTAATCCAGTATGGCAGTGAGGTCTGTGTCCGCTACTCTGCATTCAACTTCACCTGTCTTACGCAGATTTCACAGCTAGGAGGCCTAGTTTCTCCTTTGGCCCCACTCAAACCTTGTCTCAGATCCCCTCCACATACGTTATTCCCTAGTTCAGCTGAGAAGTCACTATAACAAGATCCTGTATCTCCCGGCTATCTGTTCTTCTGGAGAACTCCAGGCACAGGATGAACATACATGGTGGTTTTTCAAGCACAGCTTGAGTTTTCTGATTAACTTCTCCTTTATTCTTGAGTCCGGATTTTTACAAATGACATGGTCACTCTATCCAGGAGCCACTGAAATCCTGTCTTGTGACTTTTGGTGGCAAAGGAAATAGAGTGATCCTATGCTTTTCTTCCCAGACAGAACACAAATGTAGACCCCTGAGAGGGTGTTGCATACTGCCCATAGGGGCTACCCCAGCAATAATCCCCTCCCTTGTGAAATCTCCAGACAGTCGTGAGTACCAGTTGTGAGTACCCAACATACTCTCCACTCCTATAGTCACATACTTCAGAGAACACAGGTCAAAGAACTCTATGGCAGCCCCAAAGTGGGGTTGTAATTTTGTTGGAGATGGAGACACGGAGCTCTTGTGCTTGCAGATGCCCAACATGTGGAGGCCTCACACCAATAGCAGGAGGCCTTTGTACTCTGGATTGGAACTTTGTTACATGGTGGCATGTCTGTAGGGTACGGGATGGAGAGGTTGTGTAAACCTTACACCTCCTAGTGAATGCTGTGTGACATGTACTCAGTGCTTGTGGCCCCCTTTAGAATGCAGAACAGAACATTTCATTTTTACCTTTGGGACTTTACCAGCAACCCCAAGACAACAGAAAAGCCCCTGTCAAAATCCAAGACAATTTAAGGAAATTAACATTTAAAGAACAATTGTGGGTCAGCAGGTGGCATGGTGGTTAAAGGCGCTGAATTCCCACATGGCCGACTGCAGTTCGAGTCCCAGACCTGGCAGCTTACTTTCTCATGTTCTCTCTTTCTCTCTCTCTCTCTGTCCCTCTCAGGTCAAATTGAAATAAAAAAATGAATAAATAAAGTTAAATAATATAATTTTTTTTTAAGTTCCTGGTGGGACCAGTAGGTGGTGTGGTGGTAAAAGGCACTGAACTCCAACATGCAGCCAAATAATAACAAATGGAATTAAATAATTTTTTTGGAGAGGTTTTCGCTATAGGGCACATGCGCTCGCCAGACAGAGAAAGAGAGAGACATAGAGACAGAAAGCAAAAAATCACCCCCCCCAGGGGGGATGGTCACACCACAATCCCTTCTCCTCCATTCTCCTCTTGGGATCTTGGGCATGCACGCACATGCGCCCGGTGTGAGTTTTAAGCCACTGGGTCCGGGACGCGAACCATGGTCTACTACTTGGGAGTCCAGCGACATAGCCATTACGCTAACTGCTGGTTTCCTAAATAAATATTTTTTAAAAAATAGAAAAATTGCTGGGGCCAATAGGTGGTGATGTGTTTGGGGCACTGGACTCCCACATGGCTGACTGCGGTTTGAGTCCCAAACCTGGCGGCCTGCTTTCTTACTTTCTCTCTCTCTCTCTGGTGAGTACATGTGCCCTATAGCAAATAAAAAAAATAATAATGATAAATAAAAATTAAAAAAAAAACAATTGCTAACTGTTCTTAATGCATAGAGTAAAACAAACAAACAAAAAACCATTACTACAACTAATAGTTATCTGTTTATAGCACAGTAAAATACCATTTACAGTTCCGGCCCAAATTTCTTTGCTCCTTTATTCATTAAAATGTGGGTTAGGGCCAGCCAGGTGATGTAGTGGTTAAGGCAGCTAGATCCTATGCCACTGACACTGCAGTTTGAGTCCCAACCTCGCAGCTTGAAAACCACACTAGGAGCACGTGTGTGTGAGTGCATGTGCTCCATAGGAAATTTTTTTTTAAAAAATGTGGGTCAGAAACAGTGCTTTTCCATAATTGTAGGAGTTTCACTGAAATTTGTTAGCAAAAACCAAACAAACAAAAAACAGAAACCTCCTTCTAGTAACTCCTGTAAATAATCACTTATTGTTTCTATCTGCAGAAGGTCTTCTGCCCACCACCTCCCCTTTGTTTTTCCTAGAATTAATTAATTAATTTATTTATTTATTTATTTTATTTTATTTTTTAGAGGTTTTTGCTATAAGGTGCGTGTGCTTGCCAGACAGACAGAGACAGAGAGACAGAAAGCGAGAAATCACCCCCCGGGGGGATGGTCACACCTCAATCCCTTCTCCTCCATTCTCCTCTCGGGATCTTGGGCACACA